TTTGACATTAGAGAGATAACACTCCCTGACCATCTTTTGGTCTCCCCGTAGGGAGCCGACTGTTCCATCATCCCTCTCAAACTTGAGAAGCATAAGAGAAGGAGTTTAGGGTAGGACGCCCCAAAATCATGTCATAGGCCGTCAGCTCTTCAACAACTAAGAACCGGGCCACCATGTGGCGTCCCTCCCCTTTTTCGCCCAGACGAATGGGTAAGTCTATTCGACCTACCGGATGTACAACTCCTCCCCCAAATCCCACTAAGGGATGAGAGACCGGGTGCACACTCTCGGGCTTGTACCTGAGCTTGGCCAGGCACTTGTGACTGATGAGGTCAGACGAACTCCTCGTGTCAATGAGGATCCGGCCAACCCTTTGGTTGGCCACTTTGTATTCGATGACAATAAGGTCATCATGCGGCCTCCTGATTTTTCCCTTGTCATCTTCAGTAATAACAACTTCGCGGAAAGAGTCCTTGGACGCCTGTTCCTCGTCGACTGAGTTAACATCGAGCTGCCTAACATAGTCTTTATTACCCCGGATGGTAGGGCCGCCTCCAGCGAAGCCGCCTGCTATTGTATAGATCGGAATTTCATCAGTATCCGAACTATTAGCAGAGCGGGGCTTCTTTTTGGACGGTTGCCCAGTGTTAGTTTGTAGGGTAACTTTGGACCTCAGAACATAGGACTTGAGTACCCCTTTATCAGCCAGGCAGTCCAACAGACTCTTGAGCCTATATCATTCGTTGGTGTCGTGGCCAATATCTTCATGGTAGTGGCAGTATTTGTTTTTGTTCCGATTTTTGGCGGAACCTTTCATAGAGGTCGGCTTCTCAATGGTGACCTGATCCTTAATCTCCATGAGGATGGAGTAACTGTCTTTATTGAAATCGTACTTCGGGGAGTACGTTTTTGCTTCTTTCTTTTTCTTGTGGGATGGCTGTTCAGTAGTATCAGCCACCCAGACTTCTTTTCTTTTCTTTTCTTCTTTCTTAGCCGGCTGTGATGGCCGACTCTCTCTCTTGTCAAACCTCTTTGAGTCTGTCTGATTACGGATGTTACAGAGCTCGGTCGTCTGTATATAGGCGTCCGCCTCCATCAGTGCCTCTAGGAGGGTAGTTACCCTCTTTCTGACAAGGTCGAACTTGAAGGCTGACCCGTCTTTCAAACCTTTGAAAAATTCTGTGTAGGCTACCTCATCAGACAGTCCTTGAATCTGAATTCTCATCAGATTAAACCGCCTAATATATGAGCGTAGCCCCTCCTTCTGTCCCTGCTATATGGCTCCCAAGTCGAGACTTGTTTTCTTTGTAGGGATATTCATTGAGAAGTTTGACCCGAACAAGTATGTAAGCGTCTTAAAGTTATTTATGCACCCGGCCGGCAGGTTGCCAAACCATTGTTAGGCGACGCCCTTTAATGTGGCCGGTAAACATCTACACCATGCGGCATCATCCAACCCTTGTAGATACATAAGGTTGGTGTATGCCATCAGGTGGTCTTCTAGGTTGGTGGTACCATCATAAGTGTCTACCAACACATTCTTCACCTTGGCCGGCTGTGCGGCCTCAGTTATTTCCTTGGAGAATGCAGTGGGTTGTTCTCTAAGTCTTAGCAGTCGGAGCTGCCAGTCCAAGGGCTAGACGTTATGTGTCGCCTGCCTCCCGAAGAGGGTAGGCTGTATATATGGTTGTCCATACGGCATGTATGGCTGTTGAGGCGCATACGGGGCCGCTTGGAACATCTGAGGACTAGAGTGGGCAGACATGTCGTGGTCTTCTCAGTTTGATTGAGAATACCTCATTAAGGTATCTGAAAGCTGTCATTAAAGTTCGACGTTGAGGCCGACTCTGACAGTTGCAGATTCTTCTTTTGCTGGATTAACATCCGAGCATCGGAAAATGTTTTCTTGGAACCATCCGGTTGTACATGCCGGATGGCCTTCCTCTTCCCTGGCTTAGGGAACTGAAGTCTGGCTAGGTTTATCAAGGGGGCTTCTGCCCCTCCCTTGGTTTGGGATAAGGAGTGGCCTCTCGGTCTTTGACCGACTTATTCCTCCCAGAATGAGAGGGCTTTTTGGCCGACTGTTCCTTGGTAGGGACAGCCGTCCGTTTATCGATTAGATCCTTTATCTCCCCTTTGAAACTTGTCATGAGAGTCATGAGCTCGATTCTAGTGATGGGGGTGGATCCTTCGGCCACATGGAGCTGACCAGCCGGCTGGCCGACTGTGTCACTAGGCCTCGCCTGGTCGGGGTTCCGTTCCCTCCTTTCGGTGGGACGGATGCGCCATGTTCTTAGGGACCCGTCAGGGGCCGTGTGGGTGGTGACATCATAGTCGTCATCCGTATCTTGGTCTGAAACGACCTGGGCTTCATCCATGGGCCGCTTCTCGTTTAAGGGCGGTACAGGTTCTTGTGAAGTCATCTTAGAAGTACTCTCTCCACAGACGGCGCCAAATGTTCGGGGTTTTTTGAGTGTCCTGCGGGAGAGTTACAACACCAAGACTGACCTCTGGACGCCTGTACCTGCAAAACAACGGAGACTCCTGTGGGTGGGAGTTCCGCCTCTGACGATCAAGGTAGAACGTGTTTGAGGAGTAAAGTGCGGAAAGTAAAGTCCCTCTCGGATTCCAAGAGAGAATCTGCAATGTGTAATTGCTCAGTTTGAGGTGTCAAATGTTTGACTTTCTCTGATTGTGAGTTAATGTGAATTAATTGTGTGTTCCCGAGGGGGAAACATCTCCCTTTTATAGGGTGTTGGAAAACGTGCCCAGAACTAGGTTTCAATAAACCTAGGACTGACTGGGCTTTGCCTAGCAATTTAGGCTATTAGAGGCCAGTTTCCTGGTTGGCTATCTGTCAGCCACGTGTCGTGACCTGATTGGTCCACCTTGGACCTCTTGCGAGGTGACATGTGGCAAACTCTGGTTGGTCCACGTGGATGACACGTGACAGAGCTTGAGTGATCCACATGGCGGGAAAAAATCCTCTAATCAAGTATAATTATAAATCAACGCCGATAAAAATATGATGTTGAACCTAACATAGTTGGTATAAGATCTTTATAGGATCCTTGAGGGTCCCTGCCTTTCAAATTTTCCCTTCTTCTATTCTTATGGGAATGAGTTGTTATATTATATGTATTTATTACGCTTAGTTTTTTTTAATCTTTTAATTTTTTTTCAATAATTAACTCTACATAATACATTTCATATTGTCTATATCTATGTTATTTTATAAGTGAACTACCTATTTTTTTTAAATAGTAATTAATGTAAAAGTGTCTTACCTAATATTCGTATGAAATAGAGTATTTCAAATATTATTTGTGACTTGAAAACATAGCTAACGGTTTACGGTGTTTAGCTGTTATGTAAAAAAAAAAAAAAAAACTAACGAAATGTACACAACACCACAGGCCCCCAAAATATTTACGACGGCCTGAGCATAACTCTTCTCCCTTAACAAATTACCCGGCTTCCTTCTCTTTCCTCACGTCACTTACTCCTCCCTGCCACCATCACCACCACCGCCCCTTTCCTCAATCTTTGTCTGTGTCTACCTCAATCTCTCTCAGCTCCTTGCTTTCTCAGTTCTCAATGAGCTTGCCGTCAAAATGAATCGAGTAGGTAAAATCTTACTCTTTGGTGATCGAAATTGACCAAAGATTTCAAATCGAAACCTTCAATTGCAGTTGGATTTATCCCACAAAAAATATTCTCAATTGCAAATTTGGTATTTCTCTCTCCTCTATTTCGAGGTGGTTTTTGGCAATAGTTCGCAAAAGTGGTTTATAAGATGGGGCTTTGTTGCGGTGGTTTGTGAGATGGTGGTGTTGATGTTGCTGGTAGTAATGGTTGATGGTTGCATCTGTCATGTACTCATGTCCCTTCTCTCTCTCTCTTTCTCCATTATAAACAACTTTGTTCATTGACCTAGAAATAATGTCTAAGCTAACTTGAGCAAATAAAATTATAATCCCTTTAATTGATCCTCCTGTAAAATTTAGACAAGTCCTAGATGGCAAATTATCTTTTTTCTAATGCTAACCATCAACAAAATTTTCACTAAAATTGCACTACTTGCACTTGCGCATGCACAACAAACAGTAGTACAAGTATGAAGTTTAATTAGCTTGTGAGTTACTCATTATATGCACGAGTTGCTCAAGCTCAACCCAAAAATCATAGTTCGTGCTTCATTTTTTTTTTTTTTTTTATGTACTCGTAGTACTTAACTTATAGCGCTTGACATGATACGGATTGATACCTAAGGAAGTGGAGAGAGAAATTGTATGTGCAGCACACTAGAACATGTTGATTAAATATTTGACATTTAATTAAACCACTTATCCACCGATGACAACCGAAGTCTCACCATCCCGGACCAACCACTACGTCCCAGCGTTGTAATCTAGCCACCACCACCATCCCATCGTCTTCATCCTAGCAACACCAGCATCCCATCATCTTCCCTTAATCAGCATAAAATATAGGCTTAAGCAAACAGGTGAAGCTAAGAATGAAGATTGAGAAACCAAACCATCATCAACCTGTCAACAAAAAAGAAATCTTCCAAATCTCTCTCTCTATAATACATTTTTGCTAATGTGGTGGTGTGTGCAGGGGTTAGGATGAGAACATGTAAATAATTATGAAAATCAGTAGCTTTATAATTAAGAACTTTCTATTAATAGTATATATCAAGTATAATCACATTTTTCATATTAGGAAAGTTATGGAAAGTTATGAATTTTCAAAAACATAAATATATTATTTTATTTAAAATAATATATCAAGACGAATCCAACAAAAAGTTATTAAATTTCGATCTTGTTAATGTACACGGAATATTAGAGATCTCTTGCAAAGCCTGATGATGAAACTCCTCTAACAAAGTGGAAAAGGGCCTTCAACCCCTAAACCAGACTCGATTCATAACAAAATCACATATAAATTGATGAATATATGACCATATACATGTATGAACACAAAAGGCAACATAAGTTCAAACATTGCAATCAAAAGAGAGAAAATACTAAAGTAAATTAAAACCGATAGTACTTTCCAAAAAAACATAAAGATCTTAATCAAGCCACACACAAATCAAAGAAGGAAAATATTTTTTTTTTACCTTCTTGTTTTATCTCCTAAAATCTACTCCCTACTATACACATTTCTCCCTCCTCCCACAACCAGTCAGTAGTTACTAATAATAATCAGGCAGTAATTAATTACGTACTTAACCATCTAAAAAGTCGATGGAGTACAAATTCCATCACTTAGTAAAAATTACTCAAAACTTTAAAAATAGTAAATTGATAAACACCCAAAAGCCAAGAGTGTCAGCTACCCAGATCATTAGTGTGGCAAAGCTCCTTCCTAAGCTTTTGGGAGAAAAGCCTACAAGCGTCGATACTAAGATCAACCGCTGCCGCGAGCGCGACGTAGGCAGCGGCATCCTCCGCGCAGGTGACATGCTGCACGCTCACCTCCACGGTCGGCTTACTACATTTCCCTTCCCCTTCCACCCTCGCCGCCATCACAAACCCTCTATACGCGCTATACGGCCACAACCCCATTCCGAAATCCCCACTCCCTCTCCTTGGGCTACACCCGGGCGAGCTCGACCGTTGATTACCCCGATTCGAACCATTCCCATTACTACCAGCATTGACCTGACTACACCCACCCAAGTCAATCGTAAACGTCCCGCCTTTCGCCGTATTAAGAGTTGACTCAGCTAACACCACCCCAGAGTTGGCGCTCATATCAGGAATCAACTCAAACCGATACCCAAGCCCATCATGAGCCCCTCGCTCTCTCCACGCCTCGAGACGGCCCCACGGCTTCCAAGTACCTTCACCTGGCCTAAGAATAAGCCACGAACCCGGGTTAGACCGACTAACTCGGTCCGAACCAGGGGATGCCACAAATGGTGTCACCATTGACGCAGCCGCAACCGGTGAACCTGATAAATCATGGACCGTAATTGACCAACCTTTTCTCTCTTTCCCTGGCCTTTCTCTCTCACTTCCAAACGAACTCAACCATCCTCTTCCACTTCCTTGCTCCGATGATCTGTACAACATCACAATTTAACAACACCCAATTCAATTGTTTCATACTACATCATAATATATATATATTTATCATTAATATTATATATTATCATACAAAAATGAAAATTCCTATAAATTCTTCTCGGACAAATTGAATAATCCATTTTCGACTTTACGATAAGCGCAAAAAAAAAGTTACCTGGAACGTTGATGACGGTCAGAGTTGGTGGAGCGGAAGCTAAAATTGCAAGTAAAAACAGGCTGACGAATATTCCCTTTAATCTGAAAAACTTGAGGACTACACTCAGGTTCACCATCAAACTGAAAAACGAACCTAGGATCAGGATCAGCTCGAACATTTACATGAAACTGCGAAACACCAGATTCTTTCCCAACAGAAGTCCACCCGTTGTGAAAAACCACTGCCCTTGATTCCGCCCCTTTAAGATCCAACGGTACAGATACTTTCCCCAACAATCTTCCAGAGTTTTTCACCCCACAAGTTGCCCCTGTTCTTCCAGTAAAGATTGAAATCTTCAGAAACAGTTTTCCGACGAAGATCGATTTTCCGGCGATTTTATTCAGATCATCCTTGCTTAAATGGAAAGTTGCGGCGGCGATGAAACCGGTTTGGGGATGGTGGTTTCCGTCAGAAACGAGCGTTTCCGACGGATTGTAGGGGATAACAGCGGTTTGGACGGGAAAGCCTTTGAGTTTGATTTTACAAAAACAGGGGGAGGATGTTGGGTGGATTACAGTGCGCGCTGGTTTTGCTGGTACAGGAACTTTCAGCGCGAGGTTACCGACGGTTAGACGAACAAATGGACAAGGATCCATACTCACTTTCTCTCTCCTCAAAACGACCCCGTTTTACAGAGCACTAGCAGTAGTAATACTTCACTACAACCAGAAAAACAAAAAAAAAAATGGTATATAATGAGGAAGAAGCGGAGGTTAGGAAATTGGCCTAGGAATAGGTGAGGTTTTAGGGATGCGCATTGCGAATACTGTTAAGAGATGAACTACTAAAACAATGCCAGAATTTCTTCATGAATTCTTAAACCCTTAAATCTTTTTAACAATAAAGCATGAAAATCTGTGGGTTGAAGAGGTTTACAGAGTAGTTAATCTTTTTTTGTGGAAAAAGGGGAAAAGAGAAGAGGAAGAAGAAGAGGGGCGCATTTAGTTGCAGAGGGAAGGGGGTGGGGTTAGATGGAGTACAGCTGTATACAGGTTGTCACTAAAACCCAAACTCAACCCCCGAGGGTATCTGAAGAAAAATCCTCTTTAGTGGGGTCCACTGTTTTTTTAAAAAAAAAAATTTACGAAATAGTTTGTAAGTACAATTTCTGGGTTGTGGAATGGCCAATGAGGGTGTGGCACGTGGATTAAGAGGGAATTGGGAAAAAAGAAGAAGGTTTTGAATGAATGAACAGGAGAGGGAAGGAGGACGAGGACCCCACTATGATGAGCTATTGCGTTAAACTAACTCTTGTGTTTGTATGGGTGGGATTTGAGATTCATTGTCAGCGGTTTATTGAATGAGAGAGTGTGGATAATCTTACGGCTGTCAAGTATTGGAGGTTTTTATTTGTTTTCATAAATTTCGGGATTGTTTTTATTTGCTTTTTTTTAGTGGTTTTCTGTTTTTTGGTTTTTATTTTTTAAAATTATATAATATATAGCATATAATGAATAAAAAATTAGACACATTTAGGGGCTGTTTGGTTGGTGGTATTCAACAAAGGGAATGAAAATCGACTTGAATCATTCCCTTTGTTGTTGTTTGTTAGGCTACTTTTCCAATCCCCTTTACCCCCTTCATTCCTCCAAATCCCTCTAAGTTCATTCCCCACCCCCCTAGCCTTTTCCATTCCCTTTTCATAGCCAGCATTACACCACCGTGCCTACACCAGCCACCACCCTTCTACCCTACCCCCACCGCACAACCACCACCCAGCCACCTTAACCACCGGAAAAACCCACTTCTTCGGCGATGATTCCGGCAACGTTCATCGGAATCCGACTTCTTCTCTTTCCTTTTGAAAACAAGCTCTCGGATCTCAACGATTGTACCAACGAAAACCCGGAAAATCGAAACGAGTATTGCGAGAATCGTTTCGGTAAAACTCTTTTGCAATGGATCTTTCCAGAACAGAACTAGGGTTCTTTAATCCCACGTAAAGGGATAGAGCAAAGGATGGCCCATTGAAGGGGGCGAAGGTAGCCTTCGAGGAGTTCGAACGCCGTAGGCGGTGAGGAGAGAAAAGGAGGAAGGCGTGTGCCATGGCTATGTACATGGCTAGCCGGACTTGGGGGTCGCCGGAGAGAGATGAATGCGACGGCGCGTGTGGTTGTGGTGTTGTGGTGGTGTTGGTGGTGGTGATGTGGTGGGGGTGATTCCCTTTATATTTTTAAAACAAACAACACACTACATGGAATGGTTTTTCATTCCATTCTCTTTCATTCCCTTTGTTCATTCCATTCCGATTCCCCTGCGCGAACCAAACGACCCCTTATTAAAATCATGGTAATTTTAAAAACTAACAACAGAAAAGTGGAAACACTTTTTTCTTGTTTCTTGTTTTTGGTTTTTTGTTTTTAAAAAAAAAACAGAAAACTGAAATCGAAAAACAATGCCAAACAAGCCCAATTTTTGGTTTTTTTTTTTTACAACTTATATATTATCATACATAAGTTTAAAAAAAAATGGTATGTGTTTTCTTTACTGAACTTAGTTGAATTTTATAAACTCTAATTTGGTCTACTCCGTATTTGTTAAGGTGAACACGGTCCGGTTTGGTGCGATTTGAGTACCAAACCAAAACCCGCAAAATACAATTTGGTTTATTTTTCAAACCAAACCAAACCGTATTAGGGTCAGTTCCGATTTACTGAAAATAAGTGAACTGAATTGATTGGGGCTAAGCTGAATTGAACTGAACTAAATAGAGTTGAAATGAATTGTTTATGAGAAAAGGGAATTAGGAACTGAACTGAACTAATTGGAGTTGAAGTGAACTGAACTGAAATTAAGCTGAATAGAACAGACTCTTAGTATCCAAACTGGATCAAACCAAATTGTAATAATACGATTTGATTTGCGGTTTATAATGAGACGACATTTTTTCCCTAAAAATTGCCAAATAATACTTCATTAACTTATAATAAAGTTTTGTATAGGATAGCTCCTACTGAGCTATCACCAGGCTCCCAGTAGCTCACGGGGTGCGCGCTCATCGCTAGAAGAACACTCAGAGGGGTTTACCAGCCCGATAAAGTCAACCCACAGGCTGACCAAGTATGACTCCGCCCAAAGGAGGTCGTACACTTATAAATAAGGAATCAAGTACAACGAAAAAGAGGTTAGACACAGGAGTTATTACACACTCTCTTTCTCTATTTAATTACACTTTCTCCCTCTAAACACATTCTAACTTAAGTATCGGAGGGGGGGTTCCTCGAGCCACCCCCGAGGGCAGTTATGTTTGTCACCCTGTGTAGGTTTTCCAGCTGGACCCAGCTTGCTCCAGTCAGAACCCCCAGATCCATACCCAAAACAAGTTTAAATAATTAGCCCAACTGTATACACTATGTCGTATGTTGATTTTTAATGTTTTACTCCCTCCGTTTCATATTAAATGCAACACTTTTCATTTTCGGTTGTTTCATAATAATTGCAACACTACTATTTTCGGCAAGGACCCACCATTATTTTATAATTTCTCTCTCCCACTATCCCCACTTTCACAAATCTAATATCATATCACTAATAAATAAAGCCGGTCTTGCAGCCAGACCACGAAACAGCGAAACTTGGCATTTCAGTTTTTCGCCAAGTGTTGCGCCACGTAGACGATAATAGGTATTATTATGACACATATGATGCTAAGTAAGCGAATTTTAGATAGATTTTCTAAGATAAAAATATTGTATAGAGTTTTTTTTATCGATATACTTCTAATACTTCATATATACAAATTTAATCATAACTTTTAATAAATATCTTAAAACTTGGTTCTATTTCCATCATAAAATTTTTTTTGAAAAGTTCTTTAAAATAAGATCCATTTATAATAATATATTTAATTTATTAAAAAAATAATAGAAAATTAGTAAAAAAAAAATTTAATCAGTAAAAATAATTTTAGTTTGGTAAAAGTACTTTTACTTCAGTAAAAATAATTTAAATTTAATAAAAATAATTTCAAGTCAACAATAATATAGATATCTAATTACAAACAAACCTACAAAATGTACAATATTATATGAATAAGCGATATGATATCGCATGTCTAAATATCATGCATTATCAAAAGGAATTATATGATCGTATTTAACATTCAATTCAAATAGTTTATTTAAAATTTTTATCAACAATTTGGGCATCGTCCGGGCACAAAACTAGTATATATATAAAGGGGAGTTTTTTCTCGAGTTTTTAGAGAGCCACATAGGATAAAATTTTCTTGACGTGCCATGTACGATAATAAATTTTAGTGATAGCCAATCAAATAAGAGATTTGTAAATTCTTGTAGAATTAAATCATTCAAATGCCACATAAGCAAAATTGGCGAATGATATTTTAAAGTTTAAATTAATGAAATATAATATATTATTTGTTGAAATTAGGAATTTTATCTAAATGGTTAACCGGAAATTCACAATTTATTTAAAAATAAAATATTAAATGATATACTACATACAACGAATAAAGTAACAAATTTTATTACACAAATACAAAAAAATATTTGTTTCAGAAAATACAAAAAAACGTGCATCGCACGGGTTTCATCTAGTATTTTATTATTTCTCTTTCCTACCAACCTCACTTATACTACTTTTTTTATTATTATTTCTCTCTCTTACCAACAATACTTTATATTGTAAAAAATCCTCTTTTGGGCCCTACCCTATAAATTTTCATAAATTTTGTGAACACCTCAGCAGCATATTTCAAACTTGATACCCCGAGTATTAAGAAGAAGAAAAAAAAGTAAGTGAAAACCAAGCACCCATGTTTCAAGCATGTCAAGAGTGTGTGGTTGCCAAAACTGAGCGACCACTTAGCAAAGTATGTCAAGAAGAAAGAATCTCAAACAAGAACATCTCAATAATGGCAGATATAGTTAATTTGAAAAAGTACAAACCTCGATGGCTCACCGAGTATAGAAAATTATTGGGAACCTTCAGTAATCAAATTCAGATATAGTTTTATAACTAAATTCTCTAAAGCTGTAAGAAAATCAACTATTTATGCCATTCGGAATCTCAATTACACATATATCAGTAGTCATCCATAATTTTAATCGCACTAAAGCTCAGGATTCAATATAACTAGAAACAATATTTGCTCGACTAATAATTCTATTAACTTTATAAAAATCATCATCTCTATAACTTAAACCAAGTACAACTAGCACACAATCACATAACCGCACAACACCACAAAAGACAGGAAGGGATGAAACAACAGGGAAGTAGCAAGGCCGCAGCAACATATCGACATGTAGTAGTAGAAAAGGGGAAAAAAAACTAAAAATAAAAGGTCGAGAGATTATCTTACCTCATGAATTGTTTCAATGGATTAGAAGAGGAACTCAGAAATTGTTTAAATGGAGAAGTTGGAGTTCCCGCATGTAAGAATTAGAATAATCCTCAAAATCCAAACAATTCAAAGAACAAGAACCCTAATTTGCGGCCAGTGGTGGTTGCTTGTTTTTATGGCCGATGAAACTATTCTATAAGCTTATAAACTCAAATATTTCTTGATTGAATTCGAGAACAAGCTAAACCATTTAGAAATCTGCTATCATAATCTCAAATATGGGCTTGAAACTTGTAACTCGGACTTTCAAATCGTGGTTCATTTGTCAAGCCTTCCCCAACAAGAAGAATCAAAAATATTGAAAATCAAATCAGAAAATCAAAAATTGACTTGAACTCATTCGAAATCAAAATCGCAAAAACATGTTTCAAAATCAATCAAATTCAAAATGAAACTGAAATTTACATACCTTAATAGATTATCGCGAGAAATTGATGAGCAAAAGCAAAGAAAGTGAAGACCGAAAAAATGAAAGAGCGTAGAATCAGAGAACCTGGAGGAAGAGAGAGAAAATCTCAGCTGTTGGATTTGATCTAATTTAGCGGCTGAGGTTTGTCCTCACATAAGGTGTGAGTTCTCACATAAAGGGTGGTTCTCACCAGATCCCGACCCTATATATATATATATATATACCCAATTTT